AAATCTTTAAATCCCAAAATTCCTAGATTCCAATATCTCTAGATCCTAAAATCCCTAGATCCCAAAATTCCTAGATCCAAAAATTTCTAGGTCCCCCAATATTTCAAGATCCCAAAATCTCTAGATACCAAAAATCCCTGGATCCCAAAGTTTCTACATCCCAAAATTCCTAGATCCCAAAATCCCTAGATCCCAAAATCCATAGGTCCCCAAATATCTCAAAATCCCCAAAAATCCCTAGATTCAAATATCTTCAGAGCTCAAAATTCCTAGATTTCAATATCCCTAGATCCTAAAATCCCTAGATCCCAAAATTCCTAGACCCCAAAATCCCTAGATTCCCAAATATTTCAAGATTCCAAAATCCCTGGATCCCAAAGTTTCTACATCCCAAAATTCCTAGACCCCAAAATCCCTAGATCCCAAAATCCATAGGTCCCCAAATATCTCAAAATCCCCAAAAATCCCTAGATCCAAATATCTTCAAAGCCCAAAATTCCTAGACTCCAAAACCCTAGATCCCAAAATCCCTAGATCCCCAAATATCTCTTGATCCCAAAAAATCCCTAGATCCAAATATCTCCAGATCCCAAAATAACTATATTTCTAAATAGCTTCATTTCTATATCTCCATTTCTGAAACCGTAAATAAAGAACGAACAATTTGGAAAAGAATTGTGAACCTCCCATAAAGAAAGCGTCGTTAACACCGAATTCCTTCGTGACGAGGTAATAAACGCGAAGCAATTGATGGTGAAAGTAATCCGTTATTCCCGACCAGTAGATTACTTTAACTAGGTGAAGTCAATCGAAGCTTCGTTACGATTCCAGACGAACGAAAATACCAGGGAAACGATTTGATCTCACGTTTGAATTACAAATTGCACCAGCTGTATCCAAGAAGTGATTTCCAGAGGTGAACGGATTTTCATTGGTGTTTTAAAACAATCACGTTTCAATTTGCACATTTTCAAGCGTAATCTGATCTTAAGTGTCTACTCTCATCCTGATTTATGGTACGGCGCCGTTTGCCTTTTACCACCTTACCGAACTCGATCTGATTTCCTACCATTTTCCTGCCGACAATTTTCTCCCTTTCTTCTTTTCTACTTCTTCCCTTGTCGGACCTTTCGAAACACTTTTCCGTTTCGTAGATGACGGAGACCTGAATTTCGATTATGTTGATGAGACAGCTGATTTTACTTACATCGATACCCCGCTGCGCTGTCAGTATGCGGAACTGTACCCTTGCCACGGTTAATCGAGTCAGCAAATCTCCAGATTTTCCTCCTTTTTTAGAGAACTTGTACAACCACCAGACTCTAATGAAAATACTTTCGAATTCCTTCGAACACACGCCATATGCTTTCCTATGTGAACGTGTGCCACGTCAGCTGCTTCTGACTGTGCTTTGGGAGCAGTCGAGTTCGAGATACTATTTTAATTCTGTGCGGTTTGGAAAAATTGCTCTTTGGTAGTTTTGGTCAACTGTGGTGATATTGAAGGATAGGGGAAATTTGGGGAGTGAAGTATTCGGAAATTGGTCAATTTTAGAACTTGTGAATTTGAGGGATTAGAGTTAGGGGTGCAGATGTTTGGAAATTTGGGAATCTGGGGGCGTGGAAATTTGGGGGCGTAGAGATTTGGGGGCGTAGAGATTTGGGGACGTACCGATTTGGAGACGTAGCGATTTGGGAATGTAGAAATTTGGGAACGTAGCGATTTGGGGATGTAGCGATTTGGGAATGTAGCGATTTCGGGACGTCGCGATTTCGGGATGTAGAAATTCGGGAACGTAGCAATTTGGAGATGAACCGATTTAGGACTATAGCAACTTTTGGATGTAGCGATTTGGGGACGTAGCGGTTTAGAGGGGGCGTGGAAATTTGAGGGCGTAAAAATTTTCGAGATGTAGAAATTTGGGAGATATAGAAATTTGGAAACGTAGAAATTTAGGGGCGTGAAAATTTTGGGGCGTGGAAATTTAGGGACGTG